GGAAATCCCTAACTTTACACAGAACTGGCGATCTACAAAATTCCCAGCTGCGCCTGAATCTACCAGCGCCTTATGCTGGGAACGAGGTGCAACCTGTGGAAAACAAACAGGCAAGGTTAGGTGAACGACAGAAAGCTCTGGGTAAGTAGGGCGCCTACTCACCTGGGAGGACTCCCCAATGCCTGGCCTGACCTCACCTCCACCAGGAGACCCTCCCCAACACCTAGCCGCGGTGTGCCCTCCACGGCCACAGTTGGTGCAGGGAACGGCCCCCCTCGGGTTCCTACTCCTCCGTTCCCTAGCGCCAGCACCTCCGAGCTCCATAGGGCTCGGCTCGGAGGTGCTGGAAGGTGGAATGGGCAACCCCCACCCGGGACGTCCACGGGTAGCGAGCAGGGTGTCCAGCCGAATGGCCATGTCGACCAGCTGGTCAAACGACAACGTGGTATCCCTGCACGCCAACTCTCTCTGGACGTCCTCCCGGAGGCTGCAGCGGAAGTGGTCTATGAGGGCCCGCTCATTCCACCCTGCATCTGCCGCTAGAGTCCGGAACTCCAACGCAAAAGCCTGTGCGCTCCTCATCCCCTGTCGGAGGTAGAACAGACGCTCCCCCGCCGCCTTCCCCTCCGGTGGATGGTCAAACACGGCACGGAAGCGGCGGGAGAACTCCGCATAGGTAACAGTAGCGGCGTCTATTCTCCTCCATTCGGCGTTGGCCCTCTCCAACGCCTTGCCGGTGAGACAGGAGATGAGGGCGGAGACGCTCTCGTGTCCCGAGGGAGCCGGGTGTACGGTGGCGAGGTAGAGCTCCACTTGCAGCAAGAACCCTTGACACCCGGCAGCGGAGCCGTCGTACGCCCTCGGGAGGGAGAGCCGAATCCCGCTGGGTTCCGGAAGGGGGACAGGAGGACTGACCGATGGGGATGGTCCGGTAGGTGGGGGCGTGGGTACCCCGCTGGTCTCCCATCGGTGGAGAGTGTTCATCACCTGATCCAGGGCGTGACCGATCTGGTTGATCCTGTCCTCCTGCCCACGAAGACGGTCTTCCATAATGTCCGTTGGCGCGGCTGCTCCTGCTGATTCCATAGTGTGATGTGTGATTCTGTCAGAACGCTGCGTGTGGATGTGGTGCAGGGAATCAAGCGCAGGAACCAGGGTGTTCGTCAACAGACTTTAGTATATCCAAAAACAGGAATGAGTCGCCAACCCAACCGGGTGGCACGAACAATTACGCACAACAACAACAGTGCGAAATACAAGAAAAAGCGCACGCAGTGCGAACTCTCAAATACAACGTTATGAGAGAGGAAACTCCTCAATGGCAACAGCTGACAAATAATAATCACACATAACACCTGACCCAACACACGATAACTAAATAGGAAACAAAATCAAAGACTAACAAGGGACAGGTGTACAACCAGACAAAACCAAACAAACATGAAACATCGAACGGTGGTAGCTAGTACTCCGGGGACGACGACCGCCGAAGCCTGCCCGAACAAGGAGAAGGAGCAGCCTCGGCCGAAACCGTGACAAGTGCGTCCCGAATGGCATAAGGCTCTGGTCAAAAATAGTGCACTATAGAGGGAATAGGGTGCCATTTGGCACAGCGACGTGGTTGTTTAATTCATGTTAAGATGGTGTGTTCCCTTGCTGTATGTGTGCCAGGCCAAGGGATAAATGGGGTGAAAACATCATCATGTGTGATCAGAATAGAGCTTTCTAGTGAAATCATCATCAAGCTGTTGATACGTATATCACTACACAATAATAAACTAAATAAAGGTTAAATTTAACAAATGGTGCATACTCTAGCACTATATAGTGGATAAGGTGCTATTTGTGACACATACATTGTTGGCATCTCAATGCAAATCCTATTTACAAGAAGAATGCATATGTTTGAAATTGCACAATTATATTTCCGTATATCAATAAGCCACATATGCAAAGTATACTGTACATGCATGCCTCTGTTTTCTTATGCACATTTTAACCCCTGTATAGATACAATAAATCAGATGTGCACAGCATAATGCATCTGTTCGCACCAATGCACCATTTCCTTCCCGTTATGAATAATAGGAGGCAAACATGCTATGAATATACTGTAAACCAGGACTCTCCAACCCTGTTCCTGGAGAGCTACCATCCTGTAGGTTTTTGCCCCAACCCTAATCTAGCACACCTGATGCTAATAATTACCTTGTTGATAAGCTGAATCAAGTTAGTTACAACTGAGGTTAGAGCGAAAACCTATAGGAGGGTAGCGCTCCATGAACAGAGTTGGAGAGCCCTGCTGTAAACAGTTTACTCTTTCCCTCTCGCTCTCTCTCCCACGGTCGATACAGAGTTAGAACACTGACAGAACTCCCCACTGTTTGACTGTGACAGCTAGCTAGGCCTTAGAAACAGCCTGATCTACACTGACAGTCTCTGACACAGAACATAGGGAAAACGCACACACACACACCTCCCAACCAGCAGCAGCATACAAAGCAAACATCTCTTCAAGCAAACACCTGGACAAGAGGAACACCTACGTGAGAAAGCTATTCATTGACAACAGCTCAGCGTTCAACACCATAGTGCCCTCAAAGCTAAGGATCCTGGGACTAAACACCTCCCTCTGCAACTGGATCCTGGACTTCCTGACGGGCCGCCCCCAGGTGGTAAGGGTAGGTAACAACACATCTGCCACGCTGATCCTCAACACGGGGGCCCCTCAGGGGTGCGTGCTCAGTCCCCTGCTGTACTCCCTGTTCACCCATGACTGCATGGCCAGGCACGACTCCAACACCTTCATTAAGTTTGCCGACGACACAACAGTGGTAGGCCTGATCACCGACAACGATGAGACAGCCTATAGGGAGGAGGTCAGAGACCTGGCCGTGTGGTGCCAGGATAACAACCTCTCCCTCAACATGATCAAGACAAAGGAGATGATTGTGGACTACAGGAAAAAGAAGAGGACCGAGCACGCCCCCATTCTCATCAACGGGGCTGTAGTGGAGCAGGTTGAAAGCTTCAAGTTCCATGGTGTCCACATCACCAACAAACTATCATGGTCCAAACACACCAAGACAGTTGTGAAGAGGGCATGACAAAGCCTATTCCCCCTCAGGAGACTGAAAAGATTTGGCATGGGTCTTCAGATCCTCAAAAGGTTATACAGCTGCACCATCGAGAGCATCCTGACTGGTTGCATCACTGCCTGGTATGGCAACTGCTCGGCCTCCGACCGCAAGGCACTACAGTGGGTAGTGCGTACGGCCCAGTACATCACTGGGGCCAAGCTTCCTGCCATCCAGGACCTCTATACCAGGCGGTGTCACAGGAAGGCCCTAGAAATTGTCAAAGACTCCAGCCACCCTAGTCATAGACTTTTCTCTCTGCTACCACACGGCAAGCGGTACCGGAGCACCAAGTCTAGGTCCAAAAGGCTTCTTAATAGCGTCTACCCCCAAGCCATAAGACTCCTGAACAGCTAATGAAATGGCTACCCGGACTATTTGCATTGACCCCCCCCCCCCCTTTACGCTGCTGCTACTCTGTTCATTATCTATGCATAGTCACTTTAACTCTACCTACATGTACATATTTCCTCGACTAACCTGTGCCCCTGCTCATTTACTCTGTACCGGTACCCCCTGTATATAGCCTCACTGCTGTTATTTTACTGATGCTCTATAATAATTTTTTTGTTTCTATTTTTTACTTAACACTTATTTTTCTTAAAACTGCAGTGTTGGTTAAGGGCTTGTAAGTAAGCATTTCACTGTAAGGTCTACAGCTGTTGTATTTGGCGCATGTGACAAATAAAATTTGATTTGATGAATCATGCTTCACCATCTGGTAGTCCGACGGACAAATCTGGGTTTGGCAGATGCCAGGAGAACCCTACCTGCCCGACTGCATAGTACGAACTGTAAAGTTTGGTGGAGGCGGAATAATGGTCTGGGGCTGTTTTTCATGGTTCGGGCTAGGCCCCTTAGTTCCAGTGAAGGGAAATCTTAACGCTACAGCATACAATGACGTTCTAGACTATTCTGTGCTTCCAACTTTGTGGCAACAGTTTGGGGAAGGCCCTTTCCTGTTTCAGCATGACAGTGCCCCCTTGCACAAAGCAAAGTCCTTACATAAATGGTTTGTCGAGATTGGTGTGGAAGAACTTGACTGGCCTGCACAGAGCCCTGACCTCAACCCCATCGAACACCTTTGGGATGAATTGGAACGCCGACTGCGAGCCAGGCCTAATCGCCCAACGTCAGTGCCCGACCTCACTAATGCTCTTGTGGCTGAGTGGAAGCAAGGCCCCGCAGCAATGTTCCAACATCTAGTGGAAAGCCTTACCAGAAGAGTGGAGGCTGTTATAGCAGCAAAGGGGGGACCAACTCCATAATAATGCCCATGATTTTGGAATAAGATGTTCGACAAGCAAGTGTCCACATACTTTTAGTCATAGTGTGTGTTTTCAAAACTAATGTTTACGTGAATTCTGATTATTTCCAGGGATACACGACATCCTGAAAATATTTAGATATCTTTGTTAGAAAGAATACTATATTCCCCTGGACGGAGTGATGCTGAATGTAAAAACATGGCTCAATTTACTCCACTTTCCCCTACTGATGTGCTTTTGCTGTTTGTATGATATCAGGTTCTGTGTCATGCCTTTTAATAACTAACTAATAGTAATTCATGTGACAGGAATGGTCTGATAAAGTTAAGGGCATAGCCTAGTATTTATGCATTTAATTCATGCAAACATAGTATTTTCTCTCTATAGGGAAAGGCAGGATGTCTATGCTGTTCTATAACATAATCATTTCTTTAAACGTACAGTAATTACTTTGTGTTAGTGTAAAAGGCTAAATGTATAAGCTGCATTTTCCCTCTGACATTTTACACTGTGTTAAAAAATATGTACATTTTTCATGAAAAGCACCATATCTAACCTGTTTTAAGGCCATCTCCTCTCCCCTCTCTGTCTGTAGTGTGAAGTGCCGTGCTATGAAGCTGTGTGCGGAATCAGAGACAGGGCTGAGACTGGTGCTGCAGGACCCTCTGCATGGCTTCTCTCAGTGGAGCCAGCTGGTCTCTCAGGTGCTGGAGGCCTCAGCAGAGGTGTCTGAGTTCTCCCACATCGCCATGCTGGTGCAGAACATCGAGGTATGAACACCGCACTGCAATGCAGGCTGCTACTGATTTGATCAACTCTTATTCCGCCAGGGAAAATGTGTTCTCTCGTGCTTAAAAGGGATGTAGCAGGACATGATACGGAATACAGAAAACATACAATGCAGCTAATACAATACGGTAAAATGCATAGAGAAAAGGTGCTTAAAAGGGATGTAGCAGGACATGATACATAATACAATCCCATCAATCAAGCAGCTAAACCAGGATTGTGTTCATAAGGGAACACTTGATTTTTGAGAAACCATACTTTTAGTCACTGTGGCCCTCAACGCCTGGAGACCTCCACTGTAATAATGAAGAGATCGACAGTAGTCATGTTACCTTAATTAGGTCAGCTATGGAAATCCAATCAGCCCTACATACAGACAGTACTGGACAGAGATTGGCTTAGGCTGTGTCCGAAATGGCACCCTATTCCCTATTTAGTGCACTACTTTTGATCAGGGCCCATAGGGCTCTGGTCAAAAGTAGTGAACTATATGGAATAGGGTGTCAAAAGTAGTGCACTATATATGGAATAGAGTGCCATTTGGGCCTTCTAAAATTGAATCTATCCTCCACGGTGGACAGCATAAAGTGGCTTTCCCTATATAACCTCCTCCCTCCAGACATGGGAATACTGAAAGCACAGGTCAAGGAGTTCAACCATTTCCTGATCTTTGAAAAAGAGAGATCTGAGGATCATGCTTGCTTTACGTTGACACAGAGGAATGTGTGATCTAGATGCCATGAGGCACATATCTCTACCACACATACCTTTCATCTGTGGCGTGGCCCTCTTTAATTCATTTTCTCTCTTTTTTTCTTTCTATTTCGTTCTATCCCCCCCTACAGAGGTTGATGATGCACAGTCTGCAGCTGCAGGAGCGGTTGAGTCTGCTGCAGGTGAAGAGAGATCTGCTGGGTTCAGTGTTTGGCTCTGACAGAGCAGAGAGTCTACTGACGGAGCTCAACGCCACCATGAGGAACCGAGAGCTACTGCACAGCCAGCTTCTGCAGAGGAAGGGAAGACTGCAGGTGTGTGAGTGCGTGTGGGTGTGTCGTAGGGCTCTGGTCCAATGTAGGCCGTTATTAGGGAATGGGGTGCCATTTGGGATGGAACCTAATTTCTGATATGTCCTTAGGGTTTGATCTCGAAGACTAAGGACTTTGGCGACGCCTACGAGTCAATCAGGAGCAAGCTGACCCTCCTGAGAGACAGACTGATCTCAGCAGACAGCCTCCAACCAGACATACTGGCCAAGAAGAGCCAGTCAGACCAGCTACGGGTGGGTCACTCACTGCATTCTACACCTGTGGCCCGTTCTCAATTCATCTTTCCTCGCATCCTCTCTCCTCACCTCCTTCTCAAAGGCATTGGAGAAGATGGTCCGAGTGGAGGGACCTTGGACCTTCTCCTCCAATAGGGTTGAGAAGGAGGCGAGGAGATAGGATGCAGGGAATTGAGGAAAGATGAATTGAGGTTGAGCCTGTGTCCAGGGGGCACTAGGAGACTCATTTAGAAAGAACATATAAGCATGTATAAAGCATTCATAAAGGATTCGTAAAGCATTTATAAGCAATGTTGCTTTGTGTCTCTCAGGTGATCAAGAAGGACTTGGAGGACTGTGAGGCCCACATCACAGCTCTGGAGACTCTGGTGTCATCCAGCTCCACTAACAGGACCCAGTTTGAGAGGCTGTATGGGGACTGGAGGATCCTATACAAGGCAGTCAGGGTAAGACAGGGGAAGGATTTGACTAAGCAGAAGTTCTGAAAAATATGTAACTTTAGTGGCAAAACATTGCTTTTGAAATGGATAACATTTCCTATTAATCAATCTGTGTATTTGTGAAGTAATAGTGTAGCATGTAATTGCATTTGCTTCATGTGTTATGTATCAGTGTGTGCATTTGGCTGTGTGAGTTTTGTTCACAAAAATTGATCGCTCCACAGTGAGTCATGTGGCTTGCTATATAAAGCAGGCATCGAGGCATTCGGTTACTGTTTGATTGAACGTTACAATGGGCAAAACGAGTGACCTAAGCGACTTTGAGCGTGGTACTATCGTCAGTGCCAGGCGCGCCGGATCCTTATCTCAGAAATTGCAGTTTTTTTAATGCTTGACAGTGTTTAGGGTTTACCGAGAATGGTGCGACAAACAAAAAACATCCAGTCAGCGGCAGTCCTGTGGGCGAAAACAGCTCGTTGATGAGAGAGGTCAAAGAGAATGGCAAGAATCGTGCAAGCGAACAGGCAGGCCACAAACAGGCAAATAATGGCACAGTACAACAGTGATGTGCAGAACGGTATCTCGGAATGCGCAACTCGTCGATCCTTGTCACAGATGGGCTATTACAGTAGACGAACACACTGGGTTCCACTCCTATCAGCTAAAAACAAGAAGAACTGTCTCCAGTGGGCACGCGATCACCAACACTGGACAATTGAGGAGTGGAAAAACATTGCCTGGAACATTGACAGCGAGTTCAGTCTACTTGAGTGGCCTGTGCAGTCCCCAGACCTCAACCCAATAGAGCATCTTTGGGATGAGATGGAACGGGCTGTTCGCAGCATGAATATACCGCCGTCCAATCTGCAGTAACTGCGTGATGCCATCGCGTCATCCCTGTAGAATATTTCTGACACCTTGTAGAATGCCCCAAAGATTTTAGCCTGTTCTGGAGGCAAAGGGGGGTCCGCCCCGGTACTAGATGGGTGTACCTAATAAACTGGCCACTGAGTGTATGTCTTTTGATATTAACATGTGTGTGGTGTGTGTGTGTGTGTCAGGTGAAGGGGAACGAGAGTGAGGAGAGCATCAGGGAGCACGAGAGTTTCCACGAGAGCCTGCTGAATGTAGAGAAGTGGCTGATGATTATGAGGCAGAAGCTGGAGTCCTACCGCAGCTCTGCTGGGGAGTGGAGCGTGGACAACAGACAGTATGAAGCTGAGGTACTGACATACCACACATATCTGTCTGTTATCTCTTGTAACGTGGCACTCTGATTATGGAGATTTTGATGAAGACAGACAAACATGACTAGGCACTGGACTACTATGGAGAGGATCTCCGTGACATCTCTCCTGTAAAAAAAAAAAAAAAAAACGGTTCAAAAAGTTATGGGATGTAAACTGTGACTCTATCCAGTGCTGTACTTGTATGTAGTTAATAAGTCCTGTCCAATCCTGTGTTATTCCTCCTCCGGTCCTGTAGAGGGCACTAGGTGAGTTCCCAGAGAAGGAGCTGCTGCTGCACCAGACAGAGGTGCAGGGCCAGGGGGTGCTGGAGAGGACCTCTGAGGAGGGACGGGTGCACATCCTCAGGGACATGAAGCGCCTGAGAGAGTCCTGGATGGCCCTGCATGACCTCAGCCTCAACCTCTTCAGGTGCACTACACTATAGCAGGCTGGATGGAAAACTCATACAATTACATATAGAACTCTGGAATCGACAATTATTCTTGACCAAGATGGCTGCTATTATCACATTTATTGAATCTTCCACTCTAGTGAATGATAGGGTCTCTATGGGAGGACTACTCTAGTACCATTACTACTAATGCTACTTCATCTCTAGTGTGTTTCAGTGGAGGTTCTCGACAACCTCGTATGGCTTTTGCACATTTATCTCCAAAAACCTTACCAACTGTAGCCTTCTAGAAAGAAGTCAATATGTTGCATGTGCTGTCCCTGCATCTGGGTGAAAAGTATTTCATGGGGCCAATTACACACCAATCCTAAGAGGTGCCTTCAGTTACTGACCGTCTGCCGTTCCGTTCCCAGGCTGCTGAATGGGCACAGCTCCTCTGAGGACCCTGACTTAGACATCCAGAGAGAGAGGGCGAGAGGCCAGGCTGGGGAGTTGCCAGGCCCAGCTAGGGAGCTATTTTCTGGGGAGGGAGGAGACATGATCAAGGGAAGTGGCTCCAGCAGCAGGAGGGAGGGTGCTCCAGAGAGATCCCCAGGAGAGGACCATGGTGTCTGGGTCTCTCAGAGCTCTGGGTCAGGGTCTGGGAGAGGGGGAAGAACAGGGTCAGGGGCAAGGATGGAGCAAAGTGAAGGGGCAATTTTTAGAGCAGAAGAAGGTGTGGGGGTCGAGGGAGGGTTCGAGGGCAGTGTGGAGGATATGGATCTCTCTGAACATGGGGAGAGACAGGGTAGTGATTCACAGACTCTGGGTCAACAACTGGGTCCAATGACGTTAAGCCAAGGAGTCAGTCAGAGACCAGGACAGGGCAGTGGGAGTGAAAGCAGGGGCAATGGCAGGGAGAGGGAAAGGGAGAAGGAGAGGGGTGGAGGTGAGCATAGCTTTGGTATTGAGGAGGTGGACTCCATTGCCTGGAGAGGGGGGTACGGTCAGGGAGGAGAGGGGGAGACCAGAGAGGGAACCACAGGGATAACCTTAGGCCACACAGGAGGCAGAAGCCCCCAGTGTGGAGGGGTGGTGGTGGAGGGGTCCAGGAGCAGCGAGGTGGTGGGGGGCTCTGGATCCAGGAGTAGTGGGGTGGTGGGGGGCTCTGGGTCCAGGAGTAGTGGGGTGGTGGGGGTCTCTGGATCCAGGAGTAGTGGGGTGGTGGGGGAGAGGTCCAGGATTAGTGGGGTGATGGGGGGTTCTGGTTTTACAGGTAGCGGAGTGATGGCGGGATCAGGGTCTAGGAGTAGCGGAGTGGTGGTAGTGGGGGCGTCTGGGTCCAGCAGTAGCGGGCGGACAGAGGAGTGGGTGGACGAGCAGAGGTCCAGAGGTGTGGCTGAACCTGTGGCCATGGAGGTAGACGTGGGGTTAGGGTTAGGGCATAGTCAGGGCAGCAGAAGCAGCTATGGAGAGGGAACAAGTGAAGTGGGAGACCAGAGTGGAGGTGGAGGTGGAGGGGGACACCTGCGACACAGAGGGTCCTTCACCCCGATCAAGACAAAGATGGAGGATTCAATCATTGAGCAAGGCTCTGCTAGAAAAACTTCTGGAGGGCTACAGGGCTCAAGTCAACACACCACGGTACGGTCTCCACTGATTCTATTAACTCATAATCACATACTCATTATTTTCTAGTTAATAAAGGAAGATAAACAAATGGGCGTGGTATAATTAAGCAATAAGGTATGAGGGGGTGTGGTATTTTGCCAATATCAGGCCTGATCTTATGGACGACGCAACGCGGATACAGCCGTTAGTCGTGGTATATTGGCCATATACAGTACCACAAACCCCAGAGGTTCCTTATTGCTATTACAAACTGGTTACCAACGTAATTAGAACAGTAAAAAGTAATTTTCTGTCATACCCGTGGTATACGGTCTTATATACCACTGCTTTAAGCCAATCAGCATTCAGGGCTCGAACCACCCGGTTTATAACAACATTTTTGTCATTTAGCAGACGCTCTTATCCATAGCGACTTACAGTTAGTGCATTTATCTTAAGATGGCTAGGTGAGACAACCACATATCACAGTCGTATTAAGTACATGTTTCCTCAATACAAAAGGTATCAGCAAAGTTAGTGCTAGTAAGAAAAGACAAGTACAAGGTTTATTTTTTGGGCGGGGGGTATTTCGTATTTAAGATACTCTTTGAAGATGTACTGTTTCAGACGTTTTCAGAATATGGGCAGGGACTCTGCTGTCCTAGCATCATAGGGAAGCTGGTTCTACCATTGGGGTGCCAGGACAGAGAAGAGCTTTGACTGGGCTAGGCGGGCGCTGACCTCCCGTAGGGGTGGGACGGCCAACAGACCAGAGGTGGCAGAACGGAGTGCTCGGGTTGAGATGTAGGGTTTGAGCATAGCCTGAAGGTAGGGAGGGGCAGTTCCCCTTGCTGCTCTGTAGGCAAGCACCATGGTCCTCTCCACGCCACCTGATAGGAGCGACCAGCCAGGTAGAATGCAATCCAGGTGTGTGCAGAGCCTGAGACGCCCAGCCCTGAGAAGGTGGAGAGGAGGATCCGATGGTTCATGGTGTCGAAGGCAGCGGATAGATCTAGGGCGACGAGAACAGAGGAGAGAGCGTCAGCTTTGGCAGAGCGGAGAGCATCCGTGATACAGAGGAGAGCAGTCTCAGTTGAATGACCCATTTTGAAGCCTGACTGGTTAGGGTCAAGAAGATTGTTCTGAGTGAGATAACGAGAGTTGGTCAGAGACAGCATGCTCAAGTGTTTTGGGAAAAAAAGAAAGAAGGCATACTGGTCTGTAGTTTTTGACATCAGAGGGGTCGAGTGTTGGTTTCTTGGGGAGAGGAGCGACTCTGGTCATCTTGAAGTCGAAGGGGACGCAGCCAACGGTCAGGGATGAGTTGATGAGGGAAGTGAGGAATGGGAGAAGGTCTCCAGAGATAGTCTGGAGAAGGGAAGAGAGGATGGGGTCGAGTGGGCATGTTGTCGGGCGGGTGGACATCACTAGTCGCAGGATTTCATCTGGTGAGAGAAGGAAAAAGATGTCAAGTCGTTCTGTGTGAGTGGGACCAGTGGACTCAATAGGCTGAGTGAATGAGGAGCGGATGTCGTCAACCTTTTTTACAAAGTAATTGACTCATCACTCAATATTCTCATTAACCCATATTTGACTGCCGTTATAAACTGGAATATTAAGGAAATTAGTTAACTGATTGTCTTTTGTGAAATATCACCTAAAGTAAGTTGTTGTTGATAATGTTGTTGTTGTTGTTTGGGTCCTTCAGGCAGGTCCAGGTTTAGCTTTTAGTGCAGCGGAGTACAAGGACAGGAAGAGGGAGTTTGAGGCCTGGCTACAGAAGGAAAACAATACTCTTTCAGGGATTCTCAACACCAAGGGACCGCTGAGCACCAGAGAACTCAAGATCAGGCAGAACACACTCAAGGTTGGTGCTGATGATTCTTCTCAGAAAAATATACAGTATTCCATTTCTATTATTACAGTATTCCATTCCTGTTTATATTCACACAGAAATAATGAGGTACTCAAGTGCTGTGGCCGTCTTATGGGTTAGGGACTGCTTAAAACAAGTTATTTTCTAAGTAATATGCATACTTCGTGAGAACTTCTGGAGGACGTTATGTTCAAAGGGCACAAAACAAAGCTCTAGGATGGTCGAAACTAAACTAATCTTCTGGCCGGAGGAGTTTTATTAAGAGCCTCGTTCTGAACATTAAAACGCATCGCTTGCGGCATGGTTTTGGAAACATAAGGATCTTATCTTTCATATCAGCAATAAATAATTTTCAAAAACAAAAGGTTAAAATACTACACACCTTTATAGGGTTAGGGTTCCCACTGCCATATTTCCATGTTACAGTGCTTGTTTATGGAAAACAGACGGAGGACCGAGGCATACCTCTGCTAATTAGCTACCTCCATCTCCGAACACCTGTGTGTAAACAGAAGCCAGACGCCACAAACATGTTGTCACTGAAAAATAATGTCGGCTGCAACTGTGTTAAAACCGGTTAAAACAGTGTACAGTAAGTGTGTATTTTGCATTTGTGAAATTATTTTGATGTGATGAAACTTTATGTTTCTAGAACCATACCGCAATTGAGAATCGATTCACGTTTAGATGGAGTATTTGGCTGTTGTGGCACACCACAAACCTTCAAGCGTTCCTCTAGATGACTAAAATAACTGGCAGCTGGACTAACGGCTTTACACTTACATCCCAACCACAAGCTGCCTGACACTCAGACAGGTAGTATCCTAAATGGCACTCTACCCACTGGGCCCACACTGGTTGAATCAACGTTGGTTCTACGTCATTTCAATGAAATTGGGCTCCCGAGTGGCGCAGCGGTCTAAGGCACTGCATCTCAGTGCTTGAGGCGTCACTACAGACCCCCTGGTTCGATTCCAGGCTGTATCACAACCGGCCATGATTGGGAGTTCCATAGGGCGGTGCACAATTGGCACAGCGTCGTCCGGGTTTGACCGGTGTAGGCCGTCATTGTAAATAAGAATTTGTTCTTAACTGACTTGCCTAGTTAAATAAAGGTGTCCAGTGGGTATTCTCTATATAGTGCACTACTTTTGATATAGGGCTCTGGCCCAAAATAGTGCACTATATAGTAAATAGGGTGCCATTTGGGATGCTAGCAGGCCATGTTAGTGGTTGGGATGTATCTGTCAGGATGGGATAACCGAGCACAGAGCATGCCTCAATGTCAGCAGACATTGAATCAAGGCATGTTTGCTTGTTTGTTTGGGGATATACAGTATGTATGTGCTGCTGTGGTTTCAGTGGAGATAAAGGGTTAAGAAGTATTCCTTCAGGATTTACTACTGTAGCTATTCTTCTGTGCAAAGATCCTGTGTAGACATTACACACTGACACATTGCTTATTGTTATTACTTTATGCAACAATTCCTCTGCTTATCCCTCAGCCATATGCAACTGTTTAGTCTTCCTCATTCTCCATCCCCCTGTTGTTCACTCACCTCTTCTCTCCCCCTCCTCCTCCCTCTCTCTCTCTCCCTCTCTCTGTCCTCTATCTCCCACAGACTTTGCGGTCCAGTGTGGGCTGGGGTCAGGAGCAGTTCCAGCTACTGCTGACGTCTGGGGCGGCTGCAGCTGGAGCCGGGGACGGGGCTGACCATTGGGCTGAGGATGTTGGCATGGAGGAGATACGTTATCGCTGGATGCTCTACAAGTCCAAACTGAAGGATGTGGGAGACCTCAAGGCTCTGTTGAATGTCAAGGTAAGAGATGCTGTAGTCCCCTGTAGCTCAGTTGGTAGAGCATGGCGCGTGCATCGCCAAGGTTGTGGGTTCGTTTCCCACGGGGGGCCAGTATGAAAATGTATGCACTAACTGTAAGTAGCTCTGGATAAGAGCGTTTGCTAAATGACAAAAATGTAAAACTGTAATGCTGTATACATTGTATTGTGCCTCCCAAATGGCACCCTATTCCCTTTTATAGTGCACTATTTTTGACCAGGATCTATACGGCTCTGGTCAAAAGTAGTGCACTAAATAGGGCAGTGGTCACCAACTCCAAGGAATTCCTAGTCGATCACCAAACATTTCTGTAAAAAAAAAAACAGATAAAGCCTTGCATTCTTATTTATTTTATTTGTTTCCCGCTGTTGGTGGTAGGTGCACTTGATTCAGCAGCCCTAGTGTCGGGAAGGCAAAGTGTTCCCATTTTGAACCATTTCATATGTCAAGGTAGAACAGAGAGCAAATCAAGTGCACCTATAGGCCTACCGCTGGCCAATCAGATAGCTCAGATCACCATGTCTGCACAGTTTCCTCAAGCCATAGACTGTAAAAAGAAGCCTCGAGCGCACAGCAAAGTTGATACTGTAAGATTCAATGAATACAGCAGAGAGCTGTTTAAGTTGTTATTCAGCACTGTTAGCACTTTGTTCAACACTTATAAGCCATAAAATGCGCGTTCTCCCTACTTCCACTCACGCTACAACCAGCACTGCAGCTGCAATGAATGAGTATAGAAAAGTATTTAGATAGTGGCTTGTGTTTTAATATCGAGGAATATTTCACTTTCTCTGGTCATAGGAGTAACAACATGAATTGGTGCATGAGGCAGAAATAATGCAGTGCGACTTGAGTTTTTTCGCCATCAGCTGGATGACTGTGTCCCCTTTTCTCAGCGGAGGGAGGGAGAGCGGAGGGACGGTGAGTCGGGTGAGAGGCAGCTTCACCACTGCTCTCTGCCTCCCTCCCTCCCCTCAGACTGACCATCAGATGCAGGCCATCAGTCCAGTAAAAAAAAAAAATGAATATGTTCACTAAACTGTCCCTCACAAGTAATACAACAGATTATCTATTACCAGTGTGATCATATACCAACATTTTAAACATTTCAAAATTGTCTGAGAAGAAGAACATTGGCAGGGAAATTCAAGCATAGCCAATATGCAGTGATAATGTATTGGGCCTATAGCGTACTGCACAAACCTCATTGCTACAGAGCTCTTTTTAATTGGTTCATGTTGCATAGGCTTACGTTTTTCAAGTCATGTTTTTAAACAATCTGAGCGGTAGATCTCGGCTTGCATTTTGACTCTAAAGTGACTTAGAAAAGGTTGGTGACCACTGATATAGGGTGCTGTGTAAAATCTACATCCAGCAGAGCGCTATGAAGAGTATCCTATAATAAAGAGATGATACATTGGTCTACCACAAGGGAGCAGTGTATCATCAACGTTAGGTAATGATCTGACTGAACTGTACTGTATAGCTTTCTGGGTTTATTTCCAGCAGGGTGCAAGTGCTGCTGGACGGGATGAACACACCAGGACAGCTAAGGTACAGTTATCAATCCAGCTCAGAGCTTGTGTCATGGTCAAACGTTCCTTTAATATTCAAACTGGAGAAACGTGTGGTCTAAGCCGCGGCCTATGGAACATATATCGCTACAGCATGGGTTTGAATGAGCACACTCTCTCCTATCTGTCCTATTAACAAAGAAAACATGCAAGGAGTGCTCCAGAGAGTTTAAAAGCAGCAAAAGTCCCCCTTCAGTGGAGTCTTTGAGCCTCCCCACTCCTCTGGGCTTAGTAAACACAGCTCTAGGACCACTTGTCTGACCACCCAAGACTGGCACCAAGTCAAGCCTGCTGTCTCCAGTTAACAAACACCAGTTAATTTGGCAGCCCAGTGGGGTGGAGCAACCTGGTCTCAGAGAATTTCGTATTATTCTGTCTGTAAATCAGGGACATAAATTTGCAAAATGTACAATAAATGTCAAATTGGCAAAACGTACAATATGTTACGAATTCCAATTTGTTGTGGCTAACGTTAGCTTGGTGGCTGACGTTAGCTAGCTGGCTAACGTTAGCTAGGCTAGGGGTTAAGGTTAGGAGTTAGGTTAAAGGGTTAGCTAAAAGGGTTATGGTTCAGGGAAGGGTTAGCTAGCTGGCTAACGTTAACTAGGCTAGGGGTTAGGGTTAAGGTTAGGAGTTAGGTTAAATGGTTAGCTAAAAGGGTTAGGGTTCGGGGAAGGGTTAGCTAATATGCTAAGTAGTTGCAAAGTAGCTAAAAAGCGAATGTAGTCCCTGATGAGATTCGAACACCAACTTTTGTGTTGCTAGACATTTGCGTTATACGCCCACCCCGACCAACTACCCTCCTCTCGTTTTTACCGTAAGTAACCTTCTGTCTTATGTAACCATATCAAATGTAACATATCTTACTAATTCGAGTGTCCCGGATTTACATTGACTTTGTTACGTCTTGTCTATGAGACCAGGCTGGGTGGAGAAGAGATTAAGAAATGCCATGCCCCCTCACTCCCTCCCTTGCCCCCCTCAGATCTCGCTCTCTCTCCTTCTCTCTCTTTCTTTCTTTCCTTCGGTGGGGCGGAGTGGAGCCTCCCTCCCTCACCCCCTTCGATCCCCACAGCGTGGGGCCCCTCGATATTACACAACATTCCAGAGGATTTGCACCATGTTTTGGCGTTGGTAGATGATGCCTCAGCCATTGTTCTGAGGTCAATTTAAGGGCAACTTGTACCTGGAGCCTTGGTTTTAAACCTTGTCCTCCTCTCCATCTGTTGATAGCTAAGTAAGTGTACAGCCTCTTCCCAGTCCTCTCTGCTCTAGGTACAAGTTTCCTTTTGGCACAGATCTAGGATCAGCATACCCTTCTACAATCCTCACCGTAACCATTTGGAGAAGGGGGGAATGGATAACAAATCCTCATCTATGAGTAACCTCATTCTACTCTGTCTTCTCCTGGTCTCGTCTCTCTGTCTCTCTCTTTCTGTCGCTCTCTCGCTCTCTCTCTGTCTCTCTGTCTGTGTGTGTGTGTGTGTGTCTATCATAGAGCTGTGAACGCAGCAGGTGCATGGATGGCAGAAAATAAGGAGGATAGCTCACTGAGTTTACCCCCAGGTTGTTGATATGAGAAAAACAGATGAAAGAACAAAGCGGTAGTGTGACTCACAGCAAAGACTAAAGTTCATTCTAAAGTACCCCAATGAGAAAAATCAGAGCACTGCAGCATCTGCACTAAGACACTGAAACTCATCCATCCACAAATCACTCTATAGGAATTGTGGTTGCTAGTTCTGCGGGCTATGAGTGTCAACATCTGTTCACGCTGCATAGACGACTGTTATTACTACTCTTAGTTATTTTAGTCATGTTTAAAGGTGCTTGTTAGCATTCTAAGTGCACACTATCCAATGAGTGTAGATATGGCACCTGCGCCTCATACAATAGGAGCCTTTGTCCCACATAAACACACCTATGGAGAGATCAAGAGAGATAGCTAACTCTTCAGGTCTCATTAGCTAGTTTGAGTTCCTTTCTGACCTGTCATTACTTTGGAGTATAAACATAGGGTTGTTTACATAATTGAGCCCCCTGGCCTACAACCTTCCTATCTACTGAAAAAGGTAAACCCAACAACCAAAACTTCCTGGACAACTATAACACAAACATGCAGAGGATGGCATGAAAGATTGCAGAGGACCCCCTCCAATTTACTAAACCCAGAGTTCACACACCCCCTGGCCTGTATTATACCTCTTCACGGCCCAACACAAACTTACACCCCCTGGCCTGTATTATACCTCTTCACGGCCCAACACAAACTTACACCCCCTGGCCTGTATTATACCTCTTCACGGCCCAACACAAACTTACACCCCCTGGCCTGTATTTTACCTCTTCACGGCCCAACACAAACTTACACCCCCTGGCCTGTATTATACCTCTTCACGGCCCAACACAAACTTACACCCCCTGGCCTGTATTTTACCTCTTCACGGCCCAACACAAACTTACACCCCCTGGCCTGTATTATACCTCTTCACGGCCCAACACAAACTTACACCCCCTGGCCTGTATTATACCTCTTCACGGCCCAACACAAACTTACACCCCCTGGCCTGTATTATACCTCTTCACGGCCCAACACAAACTTACACCCCCTGGCCTGTATTATACCTCTTCACGGCCCAACACAAACTTACACCCCCTGGCCTGTATTTTACCTCTTCACGGCCCAACACAAACTTACACCCCCTGGCCTGTATTATACCTCTTCACGGCCCAACACAAACTTACACCCCCTGGCCTGTATTATACCTCTTCACGGCCCAACACAAACTTACACCCCCTGGCCTGTATTATACCTCTTCACGGCCCAACACAAACTTACACCCCCTGGCCTGTATTATACCTCTTCACGGCCCAACACAAACTTACACCCCCTGGCCTGTATTTTACCTCTTCACGGCCCAACACAAACTTACACCCCCTGGCCTGTATTATACCTCTTCACGGCCCAACACAAACTTACACCCCCTGGCCTGTATTTTACCTCTTCACGGCCCAACACAAACTTACACCCCCTGGCCTGTATTATACCTCTTCACGGCCCAACACAAACTTACACCCCCTGGCCTGTATTATACCTCTTCACGGCCCCAACACAAACTTACACCCCCTGGCCTGTATTATACCTCTTCACGGCCCAACACAAACTTACACCCCCTGGCCTGTATTATACCTCTTCACGGCCCAACACAAACTTACACCCCCTGGCCTGTATTTTACCTCTTCACGGCCCAACACAAACTTACACCCCCTGGCCTGTATTATACCTCTTCACGGCCCAACACAAACTTACACCCCCTGGCCTGTATTATACCTCTTCACGGCCCCAACACAAACTTACACCCCCTGGCCTGTATTATACCTCTTCACGGCCCAACACAAACTTACACCCCCTGGCCTGTATTATACCTCTTCACGGCCCAACACAAACTTACACCCCCTGGCCTGTATTTTACCTCTTCACGGCCCAACACAAACTTACACCCCCTGGCCTGTATTATACCTCTTCACGGCCCAACACAAACTTACACCCCCTGGCCAACCGCAATCTCCTCCACTGGCTACACACAATCCTCACATACACCAGATAATGAATTACAAAAACAAATCATCACCAATCTCATTATCATTGAAGTGGATAAAATAATCATCTTCATCACCCCTATTCCCATTAGAACAGCTCTCTGAGTAATTTTCACTCTGGCAGGGGGTTGAGTTTAACGGTGCTTGATGAGTTTAGTGCTTGTATACAATGATTGATTGAATAATCTCTTTAAGGGCGCTTAGCACCTGTCTGTCAAATGGATTGCTATTGGGACTGCTTAGTTTGAGTACCTGGGACAGCGGTGATGGGAGTTTGGATATAGAGGTAGAACGAGGAAAGTTGCAGGTCTGTTGAGAGATTTTCTCTTGCGCTTCCTCCTCAACATCTTCCTCCTCTCTCGATCCTATGTGCTCTGGAAAGCAGTTTGAGAGAAGGAGGGAGAGGAGGAAGAGGGGGTTGATGGAGAGGGTCTTGTTGAGTGAGTGAACATGAAGGTGGAGGGCAGAGAGGACAGAGTGGGCGAGGATTTACATGCTTCACTTGGAAGAGCACTCTGTTCTGTGGTGTGTGGGTGTGCGTGAATGCTGTGTGTGTCATCACAGCCCTGATAATATTGAAAGGGATGTGAGCCTTTTCTGTTTGTTGTTTACTTAGCTTGCTACCCTGACCATAGTGTATGAGTCATCTTAAAAGTGACTCCGTTTAACACTCCCTTTAAAGGGGCAATCTGGGATTTGTACAACAAACTGGGACATAAAACTATAATTTTGATGTCATGGATTGTCAGTCCTTGCATCCATAACTCCGTCTCTGAATTTGAGTGGTTACATTTCTCCAGCCTTGCTGACTACCAAAAAAAGTAGCTGCGTAGTCGTTTTGTTGTTGTTGGAATCCCAGATTATCCCTTTAAGATGCCTATCTGACTGTGACATTGGCACGTTGTTTCATTATGAACCAGTCAAATGTGGTGTCATTACCTACCAATTATGAGAAGCATTTATTTATATTTCAGCATCACAGAATGTTCCTCCATGTTGAGAGGCAGATGTACTGAGAGTCTGGTACATTGGATTAACATTCTGACGTTGTGTATCGCCCACAGTTGATGGGACACAGAAATACTCAGAGTAAAACACACACACTTTTGTATTAATTTTGATGTCAGTTGGGCTTTTCTGATTCCCATATAATTACATGGCCCCTCTAAAAGGTTTACGGTTGATCCTCAATCACTGGTTATTCACTCGTGCTCTTAATGGTATAGACAAGGAATGTACAACAGTATGTGTATTTGAGAGAAAGTACGAGAATGGGATTTGATGGGTTCAATTATGATACTTACATGTCTGTGAGTGTTTGTGTAGTTGGCAATATTTCCCTTACTAAATTACAGGCATGGGAAAGTAGGTTTTGTGTGTGTGTGTGTATTAACATCTCTATATTGTCTCCCTGTAGGGGAAGACTCCAGGCCTGCTGTACCGTGTGTGTCGGGTGGCCCTGCCCCTCTGGCTCCTGCTGTTGGCCCTACTCCTCTTCGCGTTCTTCCTGCCCTGGATGGACGAAGGCTCCAGCTGCTCTCTGTCCAACAACTTTGCCCGCTCCTTCAACATCATGCTACGCTACGATGGACCTCCACCCACATAGGAGGATTATATAAGTCGATTCCTCTTCACCCTCAATCCATTCAGTGTGTGTGTGTGTGTGTGCGTGATTGTGACTGTGTCTTTGTGACTGTGGGTATGTGTAAGAGTCAGTTTGGGTCAGTGAGTGTGTGTTAAGGCATCCGCATGCTTCCCAGCCTAAACAGTTCGGAGGAGTTTGTGCATACAACATTTTGTGACGTTTTGGACTTCAGTGAGGGTTTTATCGGCTGTTCGGGCACACACATTTTTTTCTGGAGGCAAGCTGAAGTTCGGTGCCGAAGTCTAAGCCCCTTTATTGGTGATTGGTCAACAATAGGGATTCTTCAGTAAAGTCTTTGCTGTCATTCAACGAGACGACTCGTTTGAATGCACATTTTTTCATTGAGAAATACTGCACCAAACATCTTAGATGTAAAATTGCGCGACTAAGATCTCCTCGGCAAAAACGGATGTCTTGAGTTATCTTAGGTTAGTTCTGACTATTTTGAGGACTTGTATATTGGCTACGGCGTTTGAAATGGACAAACCGCACACTTGTTCGGCTAGGTGCCAGCCGAACTGAAGCATGCTGACGCCTTTAGTGTGTGAATGTGTGTCTGTGCTGGATGTGTCAGTGTGTGGGCGGGTAGCCTCGGCTCTTTCCACCTGTTCCTTTTGACTCAAGCTGTTCTCCACTCTGCAACCCACACGATCAGGCCAATTCAGCTCCTCTATCACACAGGCAGGCAGCACATCCACAGAGTAGAGGGCTCCACTCCCTCTCCTATTCACAGTACTACAGTAGCTACAGTAATGGCCACCAAGCACTTTGCATGATGATGGAGTGGAGAGGATGTGGGATGAGTTAGTGGATTTTTATTTCCTCTATTTGGAGGGATTTGATGTCTTAGAAAATGACTGCGTTGATCATACACCCCCCAAAAATATAATGTTTACTACCCCTTTAAAGACTGGTGTATAGCAAAGATGTGGTTAATTTTAAACTGCACAAATAACATTATGCTTTTTTTCTTTTTGCGTGATTGTAAGATGTTTTAAAGCTTTATTTTTTATCTGTACATAATGTATTTTGCATAAAGGACCCGTATCAATTTTAGCACTGTGTTCATGACAGTCTAGCGCTTCAATTCTAGATGCAGGATGTGCTCACATCCCAAAACACAATGTCTGGGGTGTATTCATTACATCTTGCAATGGAAACCCTTTACCATTTTAAGAACCAAAAGGGAGCAAACAGAGAAAAAACGGGGAGGGACCTAACTGAATTTGTCCAATAGGAACTCGTTTTCGTTGCAAAACTTTTTCTGTTTGGAGTAAACATTTTCTGTTGAAAAACGTTTTACAACAGATTCAGCGTAATGAATACACCCCTGTTCTATTGTGTGTCAATTCAAATTAATCAATTTGACATGTTTCAGTGTTAAAAAAAACTGTCATACAGAAAATCAGTCAGTGCTGGTATACATGATGTACCAACTTCTGACTGTACAAGTATATTTATTTGTACTGTACTGTAGGCATGTTTGAACAATATGCTTTTCTTTCCTAAAGGTGCTATGCTATATTTGAACAATGTCGTAATGATCCCTTCACACAGTTTAACTTCTCTATGAAAACACCAATTAGAAAGCCTTCTATCTTGGCCCCTGACGTTTTCTTGGACCACAGAGTACTTTAGAGGCAAAGTTAACTTTCTTTATAATACGTAATGTTCAGCAGGGCCCAGATTATATAATGGAAATAGCTCCTGTTATGGGAGAATGTCCTTTTTTGAGCAGACTCTTAAAACGATGCAATGACCCGGTCAACCTTTTCTCTCTTTCCTCTCTCTCTTGCATCCCCCTCTCTTCTCTCATTCACTTTTGTACTTTTCCCTCCCTCACATGTTTGTTTTACAGACCAGAGGGTTGCTAGGGCAACGGAGACCAAATCGCATTAAATCTATTAGTGTCCTATCACACAGTACAGGTCTTTTTGTTACGACAGCAAAATTAGGTTATAACCCACAAATAGTTTGATATTTTAAAATTTGATTAAAGTTGAACTGTTAGCTTTTGTTCGGAATGAGGGAGAGCGTGTGTTAGTTCGACTGAGTCGAAGGTTTCAGAGGGCTGTCTTCGTCTGTCATCATGAATGTTAAATGACTGAGAAACTTCATTCTTAAGAAAGAATTAAAGGAAACTCGCATGCCTGCCCTACCTGTCCAAAGCAGAACTAACTGAATATTTATACCATTCTAGTGTTATCTATACACAAGTTATGCAATGCTCTTCTTTAGTCTTCATACATATTTATGAAACATATCTAGCTCTTTTAAATGTGATAATATTAGACATAAATGCTCAACTAAATACAGAGGACTAAACGTCACCATACTTGTACCATAGAGTAATATGCTGCATTCTTTTGAGTACCAATCTGCTTCTTGCACTGCTAGAGTGAGTTAGATGCGTATGCAAACCTTTACAATCAACGCAGGTTCAAATGCATACCCTGCCAGGAATCTCACTGTATGTGTATAGCCATACATGTGGAGCATCCATATGGACTTTCACTTGAACCTTTTTCAGAAGTGCTCTTGAAAGGATCTGCAGTGGAACTGGGAATCAATAATAGATGAGAAATAGTGGTGGAGAATGAAGGGAATATCATGGAATACTGTATCAGATTACTCTGCAGTGTGTATTGGAAGTAGGGTTGTAAAATTCAGATTTTTTTTTTTTACAGATATCCAGGTTGGAGTATTTGAGAGACCTGATTCCATGAATCTTCCAACCAGGATTTCTGGAAAACTTTGCAAAAATGTCCAGGTTATCAACATTTTGCAACCCTAATCACATTCCTTTTGGGTGTTTTTAGGAAGGAGTTTGTCTACTAAGTGCTCTGCTAAATAATAAAAATGGACATAAGAGTAGATTGGAATAACGTGTTATGCAAATGAGTATCCGCTTTGCAAAAAAAATACTTAAACGCGCTTGCAGGAATGAAGATTCTAAGCTTTTGTAAAACTGCACAATATTATGCTCTATTTTATTACTATATTTTGAAATTAACTAAATGCTTAAAATGTATCAACAGGGCCTAACCAATATTTTTGTATTGTACTCAAACTGGCAATAAATGTGCAGTGTGTATAATTGATATCTGAGTCTATATGGTGTCTCTCATGGTTGAGCTACTGTTGTTGGGGAGAAAATACTCACTGGATCAGCATGAGTAAAATGCCTGAGTTACCAGGTCTGCACTTCAAATGGCACCATATTCCCTACATAGTGCACTATTTTTGACCAGAGCAGGGCTCTGGAGAAACCTAGTGCACTATGTAGGGAATATGGTGCCATTTGGGATGCACACAGGTTTAAAGTGTAGTAGGCTGTTTAGTTTAACTAGCCTCTGGTTAGTCAATGATTGAAAGGCTCTGAGCAGGTCATGGAGTAAGCACATGTTTCCTTATCACATACCAGGATGTTAGGTGAGGTTGTGCCTGCACATGTCAAAAAAGACTAAAAGGGGGCCAGTATGATAAAGCTAAACTTTAGTGAACTATTCACAAAAATATGAACAAAAATATAAAGAAATAGGAGATCAGCATATTATATTACCACAGGTTGCTTACTAATACACATACTAGGTTGCACCTCTACAGGTCAGCATTTAATTCCAAAAAATATCTTCCTTTCTGCTCTTGTTCACTCTCCTTTTTCGATCTGAAATGACTGAACATGTGTAAGCATTAGCTCCTACACCTAGTTTCCACCATATTGCTTTCACCTTTCCAGTTGTATCAGCTCTGTGAAGGGGGGTGAGCAAAGGGCAGAAGGGAGGGGACAACATTTTGGAATGAAATACAGCCCCGCTAATGTAACAGTATCTCATAGGTGCAGATAGGTTTTCCTTTTCCTGTGTTAAATAGAGGGTTAGGACTGAACGGGTCTAACAAGCTTGACCACACTGAACACACCAGACACACTGACACCAAAAACCTGAGACAGCCTCACAGTCAAATATGAAACGTTTACTAGCTCTTCTACTGCTCGCTTTGCCTCTCTGTCTCTCTCTCTCTCTGCAAAACAGATCACGAGATGTGCAGTTGTACCGTAGTATGACATTCTCAGTAAATTCATTTGGCTGTGATTTAGGCCACCAGTGAAAGCAAGAACATCTCATCTAAGGAAGACACAGTAGCTGCCCTGCCAAAACATCTGATTTGTTAGTTACAGATGAGCTCCCAATTCTACACCCACATGCACACACACACACAATCTGGCAGACAAACAATATTTATGTCTGGTGCTCAGCCTGTGCATGACAAGCACTCTGGTGCAACACCCAGGTGACTGTTTGCCTTCCAGCCACTAGGGGCAACAGTGAGTGCTATTAACATCAAGTAGGCTTGGGTTTGCTAGGGCGTTGTGGACAGGCGTCGCGGATGGCCGTAATCCCATGACTCTGGATCCGAATTCATTCCGAATGGATCCGAAGGTCATGACAAGACACTCGTTATGTCTTTTTTTAGTTTTAACCCTATCCCAAACCTTAACCCTTAACTTAAAAACACGTCGAAATTTCGTGAAAATACTTCGAAATTTGACTTTGGAGAAACGTGGATAAACGTCAGAATCTGAAGTCAAATTGGTCAATCTTCTTGATTTGTGTAGACTATGCCCTACCTGGCAGAGGCTGATAGCGACAGTGGCACACTTTGCTATGTGCGCGAGCCCTTGTTTGGCCTAATTACTTCAAATGGAATTCCCTCTTGGTGTAGTTGGACTGTTTTCTCTTCTCCTCTCTCTATTCTATGTGTGCGGTATACCACCAACCCACTCACTGGATATGGGTTGTGGAGCTCAAATTACTGGGTGCCTGTGAATGTGTGTGTGCCTGTATGTGTACTTGTGTGATTTTAAATGTGTTTTCCTACTACCCACGTACACAACAGATCAACAACTCTTACCTAATACTATGCATCTCTTCTGTGTGGCACTGATTATTTCCTCC